GGAGGAGGGGGGTTATTAAAGCATCTTTATTCAAAATAAACTCGTCTTTCATAAAACTTTATAAACATTGTTGGTTTTTTGCTGAAGTGTTTACATGAGAACCGAAGCCCGGGTCACCCTGAGCTACAGAACACAGCAGCCCCCTATGAGCCCAGAACCACCAGAGTCCATCCAAGTCCTGGACGGATGTGTAATAAGCAAAGTCCAACAGAGTCTAGAACAGAACAGACTCTCATCATTTGTCTGGTCCAGAGGACCAGAAACATCCCCTCAGTCCACAGCCGGTTCAGGGAATGGGTCCAGTTCAGGGTTAGGGTCAGCATGGATGAGGCCCTCATAGAAGTCTTTTAGCATCGCACAGTCTTTTTCTGTAAGTTGACTCTTCCAGCTTTCCAGGATGAATCCAACGGTCTGTATGGACCTGACTCCCAGACGGTCCTGAGTCCCAGACGGACCTGACTCCCAGACGGTCCTGAGTCCCAGACGGACCTGACTCCCAGACGGTCCTGAGTCCCAGACGGTCCTGAGTCCCAGACGGACTGCCACATCAGTTGGATCGTCTAAATTTGAAAAAGTTCCCGCCACTTGTCTCAACATTATCAGTCCTGCTATGAGCTGCTGGGTCAGAGATAATCTACTGGACCAGGAAGTTCAGGTGTCCTCCTTCAACAGCCAGTGTAGAGTCTCAGTCTGATCTCGTCTCTGCTTCCTCAACAGGCCACACCATGAGGACACTTCCATAAAGTCCTGAAGACAAGGAGAAGAACTGTTTAAAATCTCTCTCCACCAACCTAGAGGCTCCACAGCAAACCAAACTCCACCCAATGAAAACCTGCTGTAGACGGAGAGAAACATGCCAAAATGCAATCAGTCAACAAAGCATACCAATTCTCTGGATCAGCTTCTGGATAAAACATTTCAACTTTCAACTAAACGAGGCAGCAGAAAGCCTAAATACTCTTTTATCTTATCAAACCCTGAGGCCTCAAACAGAAAACCCCCAAACAACAGAAACCATGACAAATGGTTTGATAATGAGTTTAAGAATCTGAGGAAACATTAAGGAACCTGTCAAACCAAAAACACAGAGACCCAGAAAACCCCGACACGCCTGCACGACGGTGAAGCAGCATGAAACAAAGTCAGAACAAAGAGGGACCAGTGTGTTGGAGACCAGCTCCATGTCATGAGGTGTCCATGAAACAATCCATCCACACACATTCACACCAGGCAAGGTGGTGAAGTGTCTTGTCCAAGGACACAACGACCGTGACACAAGCTACAGGGAGGAATCAAACCGCCGACCCTCCGATCATCGACCAACCCGCTCCACCACCTGAACCACAACATGAGGATCGACCCATCCAGAACGGAGACGTTGGGGTGAATCACTTCACCAACCTGTTTGGACCAATAGAATAAAACGAAGACCAAACACATCCACGATGAAGCTCACAGTTTAGAATCCGCTGTAGGGACTACCAGAGCCCAGCAGGCCTCCCCGTCACACTGGAGGAGCTACAGGACAAAATACAATCAATAGAAACCAAGAAGGCCTGTGGCACTGACTCTTAAAGGAAATGATGAAATTCACAGAGCCCTCGCCACATTAAAACTTTTTAACATCATCCTCAACGCCGGCATCTTTCCTGGTGTTTGGAACCAAGGACTGAAAACGCACAGAAGTGGTGACAAACTCGACCCCGACAGCTACCGTGGAACCAGCGTTAACGGCAACCTCGTAAGATCCTCTGCAGGATCATCAGCCGCCAGCTCGCTTCCTCACAGAATAAAACGTCCTGAGCAAGTCCCAAAGTGGCTTTTTACCAAATTACCGCACAACAGATCATATTTTTACCCTCAGCACCCAGGTAGAAAAACACACAAGCAAAAACAATTCTCGACGAAAAAACGATTCTCCTGCTTTGTAGAGCA